TTTTTTTTCGTGTTATTTCCTCATTTGCTTTCTTTTTTACAACGTGATACATTTTTATTGGTAATAATTTTGCAGGTTTATTTAAAGGAAAAACTGACAGCGTCTTATAAATCATATATTTTTATAAAAAACGATCATTCAGGCAAACTTCGAAGAGGTGACGTATGTACGTCAAACGGGTTGTGAGTACTAGCTGTGTACAGCGTGTTGGAGCATCCCAGTAAAATCACTCACTTGTGTTACTACAATGATTGCCTGGAAAGTCTTAGTAATGGTTAGTATGCAATGAATGAAAAACACTCACCAATGTACTTAAGTCGGAGGTCACTGTCAATCTTGAGTGTCTTCCTCTGCCTATTGCGCCACGATTGTTGCAGTCTTTTGCAGCAAAACTTAGCGCCCAGACGAAGTGCTGTGAATGCAAGAAATGCCAGTAGCGCTCTGACAATTTTGAAAACATGTTATGTTACGTTACAAAATGCGATCACAAATAAGAGTTACGAAGAGCTGGCAGAATACGAAAAGATATATCATATGACAAAAATTCTCCCAATTTTGGATTTTTCACATTTTAACAGGAAAAGTGATCAAGAAGCTTTGCTTTTCTCGGCTAAAATATATCGCTTACTGAGAAAAAGATAAGATTCCCGCGGCCTAGAGAGCCTGCCAACTTTGTGTCCAAAACGTTGATGGTAGATTTTAACAAAACTGACTGTAAATTTCAACTCTTCTGTTTTCTGTAATTTCTCCTCTCGTCGCTTTAGTGTCTTCTACAGAAGCCTACAGGCCAGTCGAATGTCAGATACCGCTATTCGTTTTTTGAAAAGCGACAGTGGTTTTCCGTCATAAGCGATCTCAAACTAAAATGGCCCTTTTTCCGGCAGCGGTTTGCTTTTTTTTTTGTCATTACGTTCACTGAAATGAGAATAAACCTTTAAAATTTTCAAAAGACATACATGAGGGTAAATTGTAAAAGGAATGATTGCTCGGCGCAACAGCCATAACCGCAACAGTAGGCCTTCCCGGAACAATTGTATGTAACAATTGTGAACCGCTCTCTGTCCTCATCGAACAGTGACCCGACATACTGCAATAAAGAAAATTCAGGTTTTCGAAACTGGCATGGATTTTAAAAATTTTTTAACAAGTACAATTTCCCCGATTCGAGTATTATACGATACCATATATGCATAGATGTGTTAATTTAGTTAGTTACATTAAAATGTTACATTTAGTTATATTCTTCTTATCCATGTATTCTTCTTATCCATGATTACAGGCGGCTCCAGCTATTCTTGTATGAGTAATCTTTTTTATTTTTAATTCATTTTCATCTGCTTGGAGCCGCCTGTAATCGCATCCTGAATGCTGTGGAAGAAACATTATTTCGATGGTGAATTGGTATAGGCATGTTAAGAAGCCAAGCCTTCCATCAGTTTGCGTCTAAGCAGCTCTTGAAGGAGGAAGCAATCGATTACCTTGCTAGCAGATGGTTGCTAGTGCCATATGCCATTTTCGGGACACCCTACAGTAGTGCAGCCCACAACCATGCCATTTTCTATTTCGTAAGTTTTTAGCGCAAAATGGCAAAGCAGAAGAAAGAAGTTATATAACAGGTCAAAAGAGATTGATAGCCTATGTCAGCAGTTTAAAATTTGCCACAAAAAACACATGCATGGTCTTTTTCATCGAGGAAGTTCTTGCAATCACCGACGAACTCTTTTGCCTCGTTCCAGTGAGTGCTGTTTCGATGGGCAAACACATAATTGACCTGATTTATGACAATGCGACCATTTGGCACTAATTTCAAGGGCTGTGTATCATTCACTGTACCAATATGCTTGTCCAGCTCATTCCGGAACCATTCTGCTGTCATATGCAATCTTAAACGCAAGCACTTCTATGATTACTTGAGACTATTCATCCTGAACTCCTGGAATGTCATATGCGAATCTTCGGAATAACAAGACGTCCTAGCCTGTGCTGCTTATCATCTGTTTCTACTTGTCAAAATGATAATTCATATTTGTTTTTTAATTTACATTTTTAGTGCTCTGGTACTCATAGTTAATAAGATATCATGTGATCTAGAAGGAGCAAAGTTCAAAACGAGCTGATTATACTCAGCACACACACACACACACACACATACTAACGACATTTCAAAACCACTAAAGCCTTGCCAGCTGCTTTTGCCAAACCACTGAGCTGGTAATCTCAACAGGAAACTTAACAAATGTTACGATCGCCAGCGGGCCGACCATCAGGAGAAGCTGCAATGGGCAAAGCAGTGGCAACAGTTGCCAAACGCATAGTTAAAGAAATTGCTATGAATTGCAATTATTCAAAGTATCAAAGTAAGCAAGCGCATTGAAAGGCTGATACGAACATATTTTTTACGATAAGCTGTTGTGAGAAGAAAGCGAGTGGAAACTGCAAAACGAAAAAGAGACATTCAGGATTTTTGGCCCAGTCAGCATCTACTCTGGTGCATTGATCAGCTACAGCTTGCAAAGTAATACACCAGTCATGCAGCTAATAACTTCTCCAACTGCTTTAGTTGATGCCGCATCCACAGTGATTAGCTGCTGGCGACAGTCGCGTTCGTTTTGTCTCCTAAGCAGATTGTCGAAATCAGATCTCGTTTTAACTCAAAAAATAAGAAGCATCAAAGTTAACTCAAACAACTGCAATATGTAGAAAAACCCTCGACTTTCGAATGTGGAAAAAACAGCATGACTTTTGCGCATGTTAGCGAAGCGGGTAAGGTTGCAGCTGCTGCTGACGTAACGTCGTCATGACAATATCGTTGCAAAGGATCAAAGAACACATTGCAATTATTATGCGTTTTTGCATATATGTAAATTGCAAAAACGCATATTGGGAAGAGGCTGTCTGTG